TTCAGGAAAAATGAACAGGGTTGGGAAGTGACGATACCTGCAAGTTATAAGGAGGGACATGAAGCTCATTTCGCGCGCGTCATGGAGCATTACCTTGAATATCTTGATAAAAAAAATATGCCCGCATGGGAAATATCGAACATGCTGGCAAAATATTATACTACTACTACTGCTGCTGACCTGATCAATACCCCTTGAGGCAACGGAAGAAGGAATTTATTTTACTTAAACAAGCTTGTAAAATGAAAAAGCTATTGACTTTATCATTGGCGCTTTATGCTGCCATTTGCTGCGCGCAATTTCCACGTGTTGACATCCCGGGATCAGAAGTAAGAAAGCTTACTTCATCTATCGTGAATGGACAGGAGTACGAACTTCAAATACTGTTACCGGGAAACTATAAAAACAGCACAAAGAAATACCCGGTCGTTTATTTAATGGATTCTCAATGGGATTTTCCATTGGTGAAGTCGTTATACGGAGAACACTACTTTGACGGCTTCATACCTGAACTGATCGTTGTTGGGGTTACATGGGGTGGAGTGAATCCAAATCCGGATAGCCTGAGGGCGCGTGATTATACGCCGACTAAAGAGGCCCGTACGCCCCAGAGTGGCGGGGCTGATGCATTCCTTTCATTTATGAAGAAAGAACTATTCCCTTTCGTTGAAACTAATTACCGTGCAGATCCGGACAACCGGACGCTGATGGGTTGTTCGCTTGGAGGTCTATTTACGTTATATACACTTTTCACCCAACCGGAAATGTTTAACGGATATGCGGCAGCAAGCCCGGCTGTTGGCTGGGACAAAGAAGTATTGTATAAATACGAAGCAGCATTCGCAGCCAAAAAGATCAATAAGCCTGTTCGTGTGTATATGACGGTCGGCGATGTAGAACGCAGTCGCCCTGTGTTTGAGAAATTCGCTGCTAAAATGAAAAGCAGTAACTACAGTTCAGTCACCCTGCATTCGAAAGTCCTGGAAAACACCGGGCATTCAGGCACTAAAAGTGAAACTTATGGGCGCGGCCTTCAATTCGTTTTTGAAAGGCCAAAGCTTAAATTAAGTCCTCCCATTTTGAATGCGTATGCAGGGAAATATGAAATGAATAACAAAAGCACCGTTGAAATGAAAGTGGAAGACGGTCAACTGGTAGTTTACCCTTCTCCCAATGAAAAAATGTCATTGTTTGCTGCCAGTGAAACTGAATTCTATTCAACTTCCGAATTCCTCACTCTTTATTTTACGAAGGAAAAAGATCAAATTACGGGTCGGGTTGAATTATATGGTAACACCATCACCGTTAAAAAAATAAAATGAGAATACTATTCTTCTTATTGCTGTCTGCAGGATGGCTCAAATCTGAGGGGCAGGCAAAAGACTCGCTGCCACCGAATGTGTATGCATGGCAAAACCTCAAAGCTGTGACTGACGTATCACGTACTGGTAGAAGTATTCTCGACGGCAGTACTACTTCGTTGTCCCATTTTGAATCACATGCCACGAC